TAATATAATTACATCGTCGTCAATACTCACGAAAAAAGAAGGAGGTTATTTATGAGGACTTAGTATATTGAAACGTTAGATTTACGTTATTGTATATTTAAAAATAAAATAATTATCAATTTATAAGTCAACTTTTAATGCTCGTTTATAGGCCACGATACTAATCATATTGCATTGCAATTTTATGAGCTTCTTTGTCTATAAAGAAATAATATATATAATATTTAAGCGTCATGAATATTTAATTACATGTAGCTATAACGGTACATCTAACAATGACACAATCAGTTGTATATGTAAATCGAAATTCTTCAATGTTTAAAACAAACATTCACTTCGATTCGTCTTTCGGGATTTCGAACATTCGCTTCATACGATCCGCAAATTTCACTGACTCTATAGCTATCGAGGTCCATAAAATCTCGAATGTATTTTGCAACGGCAGCAGGAAGAAATTCTTGTCCTTCTAGAGTTCTTGTCATTACGGAAAAGTCCTTGGAAAGTACTTCTGAGTCTCGAAAAATTTTACGAGGTTCTCCTTGTCATTTTCTACCAACTAAACTGTTTTGCTACAACATCAGTGTAACAGTTTTATAACATACACTTAAATCTTTAACTAATTAGTACTCCTAATTAGTGTCATCTATCAATACTAAGAAGTTTCATAAAAAGTTACTTGAAAATGTAAAGAGATGACAAAATATAGGTAATCTAATTCTATAATAATTAATATACAACAAAGATTATAATAATTATATATATTATTTATATATTATAATTATATATAATTATATCATATTGTATAATCATCAGTAATGATTATATTATCATTAGATACCGAAAGAAGATTACAATATCAATTATTATCATTAGATATAAATTAATTGCCTATAAAATAAAAACGAATATGATGCATATTTATATTCTCTCTCACTCTTCTCCCCTTTCTCTCTTTCTTTTTTTTTCTCTCTCTCTCTCTCTCTAGTTTCTTTCACTAAGCAAACTGGCATTTACCAGGGTATCGCGTGTAATGATTCGTCGTAATGGATGACATGGTAATGTTTAATCACGATATCCGGAACGTCCAACCAGCATAGCTAATGAGGCAAAATGTCTTCAATTAAGTGTATCACAAGGTATCGACATATCACGTACAAGATAACGAGGCACAGCCGTCATACGGAGCGATCGATATTACGCTGCCAGAGGTCCCTTTGAACATACATACACATACAGATGCATACGTATATAACCGAGGAATGAAGTGCGTATGAGCAAACATCAAGCGGGCTAATTTAAAATTAACTAATCACTCACAGATAAATGCAGTTATGGCATCATGTTGAAATGTAAATTAGCATTAGGTTGCTAATTACCTATGTACGGATTAGACGATCATTATGCGGCTAATTATGCTGCAATAAACTAAACGTAATAATGTGTGGTTGAATGTAACAGTATTACTACATTGTGCATATAGAAATATCATGAATATTACTTTGCACATGAAGTTTTCATACACTTTAAGAGAACGAGCAAGTATGTACGCTCTCAAAGAATAACTGAGAGTTTTATCTTATACCTTTTTGATATGTTTTTATGTATAAAACACATAATAAATATTCTTTCACATTTTATCAGTACTAAGTATCCGTTCAATATTCCTTAATTGTTTGAATTGCGCATTGAATGTAAATTGCAACTATTATGAAGTAATTACTAATTAGCTGCGTTTCCACAATATATTAATACGAGATCACGATTTTCGAGTGATACATTTATTAGTCCGGTACGCTGTGGGACTCATTACATATATAAATTGGCACCGATTTAATTATCAAGCCTCTGCTATTGACAGATGCGCGTTCGGCTTTGATCGAAATTCTCTAACAAAGCAGCTGCTTTGCTCGTACATCTTAGAGCGTAAGAGAGCAAATAGCGTCCTCTGCGACAGATCGATATGGATGCACGTGTGTATACGCATACGTCAATAATCAATTAAATTATCGGCAAACGCGTCTAGGTAGACGCCGTCCTAATTTGCGCCTCCAATGTCCAAATCGCTATAGCGGCATACAGTAGTCATAGGGCCAGCCGTTTGCTAATTATTTGCGGTAGGCAGAAAACGTGATCTAAACGGGCGATACCGCATCGCGCACTCCGTGCGAGGGTCGTTAATGGTATTTCGGTAACATCAGGTCGCAAGTGTGCACTAATTAACGCTGTGTCGATAGCAATGCTACACGTCCTGGTATACCAAGAAACACATAGGCGTATAGCTATAACCGTGGCGTCACATTGCGTTTACAATCTATCAAAACGCGATAAATCGGTCGCGAAATTATTTGCAAGCAGCAAAATCTTCACAGTATTGAACCACTGCAAAACTTTACTATATTTGTTATAAGTATCACAAATTACTCTCTAAATTTGAATCAGTGGATAGTCACTAATTACCCAGTGACATACTTAGACAATCAGTGAAGTTCAACTAAAAAAGGAAGAACGTTTGAATATTACATAACTAAAATACTGACATCTGCACGTTAATTTCAATCTTCCAATACCGTATTCATTGAATTTAAGCACCAAAGCAAAGTTAATTGGATCACATAATAAAGATTAGGTTAGAGAGGGGATCTCATATTTAATTCACTGATTATCAATGGCATACTTGGCACTAATATCAGTGATTATCCACTGATTCAGATTTAGAGAGTCTCCATATAGAAAAATATTTTGAAAAGAAAAAGTTAATAGAGTGCTGTTATGAATAAAATTTCATAAAATTATATAGCTTCGAATTTTGCATTACACGTATACATATGAGTTCGCTGGTATTTATAATTATAATTTATTAAAATGCAAGAACGTGATAATTACCAAAATGATATTTTTGATAACGTGCCACCACGGCAATTTTCGTATAAAAATATGGCGCAAAATTGTCGTATTAATATTTATTACCCCATCGATTCTTCATCTCGTGTATTATCATTAATATCCGCTCCTCTAATAGTGGAATACATAAATAAATATCTGTAAATACATAAATACGACGACTGGGAGTTGCGATTACATCTGCGATTTGTTCACGTTTGCCTGCACATTCGCAAATAAAATCCCTTCGTACATCATCTCGAGTGTAAGCGGATCAATTTTAGCCACAGAAATTTTCTATACATACACTGTATCTATTTTCATTCCGGGATTAATTTTTACTCTTTCTCTAGGCTAACGTTCATTCGAGTTTTTATTCATTTCCGCTCGTTAAATGTAGCACCGATATGTAGAAAAGTCAACGTACACAGATTCGGATGGTGAATGATGGTAACTAACTGGAACACTGTCTCCGTGTGTGTCGTGTGTGAATCGTGTCATGTCACCCTCCTGATGGTCGCTAGACCAAAAAATTCGAGGTATTTATTATAGGTAAATTGCCAGCTGAGTTACCCCGCGAGAGATATTAAATCGCATGACGTCGCTTTCGAGCGAAAGCAATTAATTAATGTCGATTGATGTGAATACCTTTCGCGTGGACATTCACGACCCAGCTACGATATAAACGTAGTCAGTGCTGCTGGAAGCTGGATAGTGTCTAACAACTTAGTTTCGAACCTTCTATCTGCGATCAATTACTCTTCGTGGAGTTAATTACTCTTTGTCTAGCTTCTAGCACAATACGTTACTCTCCTTATTTTCACGACCGATCGGAAAAGTACTACTCTACGATATCTACATGAATTTATAAACATTGTGTTCCTATTAATAATACGAAAAGAACGGTTTCTGCTAAAGTATTTAAAAATTTAGCTCGATACAGATATGTACAGAAAATAATTTTGTCACACTATCAAAATAATTATAGGACACTCAAGCTGATTGCTAGAATTTCAAAACTTTTTGCAACAGTGTCATATGCTTGAGCATCTTACACATTAATTTTAATAGTTTAACAAAATTATTTTCAGATCTCTATCTAGCTAAGATTTTAGATACTTCAGCAAAATCATTCTTTCCACGATTCCGTCAGAAATCATATTACAGAATATAAAATAATGTAATAAAATGTTTTTCTTTTAAATTTTTTACGTATCGTTTGTGAAATAATTTAATACAACCTTCAACATTTTTAACAAACGCTCGTTCAATTTTTTCAAAGTTGAACAAACGCAAAAGTAATATCTCTCTTTTTCTCTTTTACCGATTCTTTATAAATATTTTTCTTTAGTTAGCCAGAACATTTTTCTAACAACGTAATTGTTTTTATAATATATAACTGACTTATTCCTTAATATTCCGAAAGTTTTTTCCCAAAACATAATAAATTCATTCTTCCATTCTCTCTTATCACGCTTTCCTTCACCAAGAAGGTTACGCGGACGCAAGGTTGGGCTAATTGAGCAGGGACTCGATTTCGAGTGGGATCTCTTTGTGTTTTTTTTTCTCTAGGCGACGCACGTACCGCGGAAACCATCGAGGGCTGACTGGTCGTCCAGGATTGTGCCAAGAAAAAGAAATACGTAGACGCCTATAGTTTTACTCTTAAGTCGATTAAGTTCTTTTTTACTTGACCCTCCACTTCAGGCGCTAGGACAGAAAATATTTCGAGAGGCGGCTTTAAAATCTCCCGGGTGCTTCGTGTAGAAACGTGACCGAATAGCGATCGAAGGTTTTATCCGGACCGAAAACAATGGCAGCAAATTGGAAGGCAGGCAATATCACATGGACTTCCGAAGCACGTCCTTGCACAAGCAACCAAGTCTGTCTTCTCTGCTTTAAATATTGATTCCGGAGATTGGCGAAATCAAACTAGAATTCTTTCTCCTCCCTCCCCCCCCCCCCCCTCTCTCTCTCACTCTTTCTCTAAAAAAATCGATTTTTTTTCCTAATGCAATACAACGACAAATGCTAGTTACGTAAATATTAGAAATTAAAAGAATAGGCTCAATAAGAAATATATACGTTTTAATACTGCTATTTTATAATTATGTTTACAGCTATTTGTCGAATGCTCTAATGAAGTCATCACTCAACGGAGAACATGAAGACCGATTATTTATCGATAATCGCTAGGCTCTGTACATTATTGACATTGTTTGGACCACTGACGGATGTTCATTCACTCGATATACGTAAGTACAACTCGAAATGATTAAATGCACAATTTAATGATTGCAAGTATAAAATGCACATAAAACTATATAAAATATTTTTTATTTTATAATTTTTGAAATAAAATATATTTTACAATCTAAATATACATAAAAAAATTATGCATGCTTTATATAGGACACTGACACTACCACAGCTTTATTTTTGAGAGTATAAAATTGTATATCTCTCGAATGATTTTTACTTCTATCTCGGAAAGCACATTTACGTTTTATTCTCATTTATATAACGCAATATTTTTAGGACGTAGCAAGCACTAATTAAAAATGGTATTTTTGGCTAGTAAAACGTTGATATTCTTCGAACACTGTAATAACTACGTAGTTCTTGTGGGTGATGTGACAGGCAATAACAAAGAAAGTCCCGTGCAGTCAGCTGCGCGAGAAGTCAAACGATGTGTTTTCGAGCGAATTCCGGGCTGTTGCAGCTGCGGAAAGCCCATTCTGCAAAGGTGCTATCCTTACCTTGCTCCATGCCGCATCCGCGGCTTTCTCTCCATCTCCTTAGTTCGCTCTTTCTCGGCTGTCAAATTTTTCATCGGGAGCAGGTGATTTCCGAGTTTTTATTTTCCTCCGGCCTGCACTACGATGGGGGTGCTATCACTCTGAAGTAATGACTCGCTATTCTCCATCCGCCCGGGGGATCAATTATTTTGAATCTAATGCGACAGGATAAATTGCATCCCGCCGAAGTCTCCTTGCGCCACCCTCTCTTCCTCGATTCCTTCATCCCTTCCACATCGGTCGCCGGCATAGGGAGCGGAGCAATTTTGCGCTAAAAGGCGCGCCACCTTCGGAAAACAATTCCCTCATTACCCCGAACCAAGCAGGCTGCCTTGCAGCTTTTGCAGCAACAAATTGGTCAGAAAACAACATGTATCGATTGCTTTACGTTGTCCCGTATATACCGAATATTTAGAAAATTCTCTAGAATTCCATAATAAGAAATCTGATATAAAAATCTAAAGGATATGCTCAAAATCTAAGGACTACATGATGCACTTAAAGTTATTTATTATATTCTACTTTAACATAAATTTGACCATATTTTAAAAAGTAACTAAACTTTAAAATACTCTATTTTCAATAAATAATATTAAGTGAATTAATATTCAGTCGTCAATTTACCGACATTATTCCTTTATAGATTTTTCTCTTATTTAGTATAAAAATGAATTCAATAAATTTTTTCTACTGCGTTATAATGTCTAAATAATAAATAATGAAATTAATTTTTGTTGGATGTATAAATTGGCACTGAAAATCATTTACCAACAAATCTATTGAAATAATATGTCAATGCTATATGATTCTTGACTTTAGAATTATAAATTCGATATTTTTACTTAAAATAAGAATGTTCAAAAAGAACAAGTAATAAAGCAAATATCAAAGAGCTGAAGACATTGAAAAGAAATTTAAATCGAAAAGCTTTTCAGAGTATATTTAACATCATCCGGATCGAAACGCTTCGATGATTTTTATCAAAGACGATCGTTGATTTGCATTGAGATACTTGAGCGGCGCTCTTTTTTTTTGCGGTATAAAACTCAACAAAATTCTTTCTTCGTCAATCGATTATCGGCATATAAAGCGCTATGGTTACCGAAAGAACGTTCAAGCCGCTTAAGAAGTTCCTGAAATTATTGATGTTTCCGCGAAGACCGCAATAAAGGCGCTCGTGTCTCTATTTCCGTTTCGTTGTAATACTATCCGTGATGGTGTACGTGCTCAAAATATTATTTCTTTAGAATGAGACACGCAAGTTCATGTAAAAGTCCCACTTTCGCTTGAATATGTTAAAGACTCTCTTCTTTTCTCTAGTTTCTGACTATCTTTCGACATCTTTGTAAGCCATCGAATATTTTTTTATCATTTATTAATAACAAATGGAGTACTAGTTTTAAATCACGCTAAACATAGAAAATGCATGTACACTTGCGTCATCGCGTTACATGTACGACTATGTCATATTTTACGAAAGGTCAGCGCCATTACTCTTACACCTTCCTCGTGGTAACGACTTCCTCGAGAGACGACTTAATGGACGAAAGGTCGTAGACGCGGCCGTAGAAGCGGAGGAAACGACGAGGAACACCTAGCACATAGAACACCGTTGACACAAATGTTCTGACTATTATTTAAGGATATTTTCCACTCAGAACTATGGAAATAGTTATCTAACTTTAAAGTGTATGTATTCGACAAAATAATACGTCTATCAATAAAAAGTAGCACATCTCACATCAGAATTGATGATTTGTCAAGATCTAAATCTTTAACACTATTCCAAGGCTTTCGCCAAGCATTATGTTACCGGAAATGAGATAAAAAAAAACCCGGTAAAAAGCAGATTGTAAGCAGATATGAAAGAAGAGTATGTAGGACAGTAGAGGATTTGGAGGGCAAAGGATAGGATAAACAGGCGACTATTGTTGCGAGCTTTCACCGGTACTAGGTTCCGCTAGCGTTTTCCTCGTTATAGTAAATGGTCTTGTCTTCGTGGTTGAGCAAACAGTTACACAACGATAAGTGCTAGCGTCGGGTGTAGTCGGTTACCTTCTCGAGACAGTTTCAAGGACCTTTGCTCTCTGTTCTTCTGTCCTTTGAACGAACGGTAGTTTCGTGACTATCGTAGTTGAGATTCTCTGAAAGGTGTCCGGTGTGAGTTCCGAACGACTGCTAAAGATGCACAAAGGTTCCCATTATCCTCGAGCAAATCATTCCGTTCCACACCACTGGAAATGCACAAGTACAGACGCGTTATTACTTCGGGGATGTGCCTGCCTCGGCATACCGACAGAGCAATGAGATGAACAAAGAGGATACATGCCAGAAGTAACAACTAAACTTATATTGGAAAGTTAACTCTAGAATCCATGGTTTCTAATGTAAGTTTGGAATATTAGCGTAGTGCTATCTATATGTGAGGTATGCAGATGAATAGGAAACTATATATGGTTCTCTCCCTTAAAAAAAGACACAACTAAAAAAATGTCACTTTCGAGTTGATGAATATATGTGATTAAATATTATTATATCAATCTCATCAAAACTGAAACTAACATAATTTCGTAAAAAATCAATCGCCACAACTAGAAATGAGCGGTTTTTATCAAAATGAGTTATGAAACGAAAATGACAAAATGCCATCTGATCATGTTAAGAATATATTCTTTTTGCCAATTTTATTCAATTTATCAATAATTTTTGGTTAAATTAAAAAATAGATTTTTCCTTTTTCTGAGAAACTTAATTTTTTTAATGTTACATTTAAGATAAAGGAGAGATATACTAATGTATGATATCTTGATAACTTTCTAGTAAAAATAGTCGTCTAATAGGCAACAGGTTTTTTACAGTTTCAATTTCTGGTTATCAGTCTTTTTACATATCTATCATAGCAATTTAGTAATTTTGATAAATTTAGATTAAATAATCAATTAAGCATTTAATTGATAAATATAGATTAAATACTCAATTATGTATTTAATTAAATTTAAATTAGGTATCAAAAAACTGATCCCAAATTGTTCACAGAATGTATAAATAAGAAACGAAATAGATCTAAGTCAGAGTGTATATTTTACGCTATTACGAGCTCTGTCATTTCACCGAAGAAACTTGTGATACTCATGATACAAACTCATGATTTGAATATGGAAATCACAATGGGTTATTTTAGCAAAGATATGCAAGAGTGTAATAAAACTTTTTAATGAAACCCTTCACAGTCTTTTTTAATACATTAAAAAATGTTTCATGTAAATATGTGAACGATCGTAAACTTGTAAAGTAATCTCGTGAGAATATGCTCCACATTGTAAAAGACAAAAATAGCAACCAGAAATCGAAAAAATGTCTCAAACTCTTAATGATTTATAAATTTTCTTCTAAGCCATTGTATAGACCATAGTTCTATCCGATTTAATATTCGACTGCAGTACCTCAAGCGTGATCGTTTAAACTTCATTCCAAAGCACTTCCGAAAAAACCCTTTATTATTCCAAACGCCTATTTCCATGCACGAGAATCCGTTCGAGAGTGATCTATACATTTTCTTCAACGGGGCTACCTCTCATAAGTCGACCAGGAACGTTTAACAACGTTATAACTTCGGTAACTAGGGCAAATTTGCCGGCAAAGGAGATTTCTACACGTCGTTCTACTTTCTCGCCGATAACAAATTAGCCAAGTTCAATATTTGACTTGGTAATGATTTCGGCATCGCTCGCATTACTTACATGGCCTATCCATATAGACACATAGCGCTCAGTGACAATTTACCTAGCTTACAAGAAAATCAATCACAATGAGTATTAACAGTTCATAAACGAGACTCTAAGTTAACTTTATCTATGAAAATTTAAAGCTAATAATTTTATTTAATTATATTTCTATAATCTTAAAAATAGCAAAAACTTTTATTTTAAAAATCTTGTTTGTAGCATCGAGAACACAAAAAGTTAATTGAATTGTTTTTTTAATAGATAATATTTTTTGTCTAAATACTAAAATATTCCGTGTGTTTAATTAGTATGAAATTATTTATTAATAATTGATTGATTTCTTCAATATTATATAACCCACTTTTATTGAAACCAGCAAATGACTCCATGAATTAATATTAGCCGCTTATAATCATTATTATCCTTTGTAAAATTTAATTGATTTCATTGTCAGCGATTATTAACAGAGAAATCATATTTGTGTAATATTCAACGCGAGCATTTATTTTTCATGTACGCACGATTATATTATAGAGATTGATCAAAGGATGATTTAACCTGTCAAATAATTAGAAATGATCCAGTAATTACAGGAAAATTGTAGATTAAGACGAGATAATGAGAAAGAGAGATGATATTACAATTTCCCGCGTACATTTCTCTAATTTCGATTAAAATCCAATTTTTCTTCGCCGCCTACCAAGTTATTGCCGATAGATCAAATTCGCTACA